GGCTTTGCTTCCCATCTGGGTCTTGGCTGCAGCAAAACAACAACACCAAAAAGGAGGTGAGACGAAGAAGCTGAGGTTTGGGTCAGATGGGCAGTTTAAGATTCTGCAAGTGGCTGATATGCACTATGGGAATGGCAAGACCACGACTTGTTTGGACGTGTTGCCGAGCCAGTTTCCAACTTGCTCTGACCTCAACACCACCGCCTTTGTTCACCGCATGATTCAAGCTGAGAAGCCCAATCTCATTGTTTTCACCGGTATTTATTCTCTCATTTCTTTGTCCTTATTAACTGATGTTCATGTTCAATTTCATAATACCAAATTTCACTGCCCATCTCTGGGATCATGCCAATAGGATGGGTTGTTTTATTATCTGATGGGCAGTGAAATTTGGTTTGTGCCTTGGTATTTGACAAAGATGAATCACTCACTGCCACTGTTAGGCATGCTTTGCTTAGCAAGTTTTGATTTAGCTCTGGTCCTTGCATTTCTGATTGGATTTCCTATCTGACCTGTGTGCAACAGGAGATAACATATTTGGGTTTGATGCCGCGGATGCTGCTAAGTCTTTGAATGAGGCATATGCCCCAGCAATCTCGTCCAACATCCCATGGGCAGCTGTTTTGGGGAATCATGATCAGGAATCCGACCTTTCGAGGGAAGGGGTGATGAAACACATAGTTGGGTTGCAGAACACTCTGGCTCAAGTTAATCCTTTGGACCAAGATGTTATTGATGGTTTTGGCAACTATAACCTGGAGGTCTCCGGAGTTGAGGGCTCTGGTTTTGAAAACAAATCGGTTCTTAATCTCTACTTCCTTGACAGTGGAGATTACTCCACGGTTCCTTCCATAGGTGGCTACGGTTGGATCAAACCCTCGCAGCAATATTGGTTCGAACGAACTTCTGCAAAGCTTCGGGTACTAACCTCGCTATTTCGTTCACCAGTTTTGCTGGACCACATATACCTTCACAAGTCATTTCTATCAACCCATGCATAATACGTACCAATGGATTATTTTGTGATGGTTAATATTCAAACTGAATAAGTATCTTGGTTTCTGGTTAATTCTGATGACACAGTTGATACAACTTTTTGTTTTACCCTGCAGAAAGCATACACGAGCAAGCCACAGGCACAGAAAGCACCTGCGCCAGGGCTCACATTCTTTCACATACCATTGCCAGAATTTGGTAGTTTTGACTCATCAAACTTTACAGGAGTGAGGCAGGAAGGAATTAGCTCTGCTTCTGTGAACTCTGGCTTCTTCACAACCATGGTCGCAGCAGGAGATGTGAAGGCAGCTTTCATAGGCCATGATCACCTCAATGACTTCTGTGGGGAGCTATCTGGTATAAACCTTTGTTATGCTGGGGGCTTTGGATATCACGCTTATGGGAAGGCTGGATGGGATAGGAGATCAAGGGTGGTGGTAGCAAGCTTAGAGAAATCCGAAAAGGGAGGTTGGGGAGCAGTCAAGTCAATCAAAACTTGGAAACGCCTTGATGATCAGCACCTCACTGCTATCGATGGTCAGGTTCTCTGGAGCAAGAGCTCTGCAGGTACGTACTCCTTAAAGGACAACGAAAAACTTCAGTGCCCTATTCCTAGCTCATTCTAGACGTTGCTAAGTGATCTAGGAACATATAAATGATAGTACTTATCTTTTATGATATGTCAACGAGACACTTGCATATTTGTAAATGATAATAACTTTGTTTTTGTTATGACCCTGCATAAATGTGGAGATGTTTCATTGCCCAAAACTTCTGCCTATTCACTCAAAGTTGCAGTTTTCTGAAACAACTTGTCAAGTTTTTCAACCCAAGTTTATGTGATAGGATCTAGAATTTTGTTTTTAGCTGTGCAGCTTAGTTTTCCACCTTTTCCATAGCCAATTCCCCAAGAAAATACATTCTTCCAGAATGTATTGATCACAAGCCATCATCGCTTGTTGCCAAGATCTGTTGGAAGTAATGCTGTAACCGTCTTACAGGTTAAAGCTTCCTCATATATTTCTAGACCATCTTTGCGAAACACCTCCTCCCAATTTTCCCACTCCAAATTGGAAAAGAGAAACTGGATATACAGCTGATCTTGAATTATGATTATGATTATTCGTGTTAAACATTGTATTAGATTCAAATGTCATTTTTGCATAATCCTTGATGCAAAGGTCAAAATGCATTCCTATTTCTCACACTGCCACCTGCTTTTTCTCTCAGTTGCTTATTTCATCTCTGTTCAACAGGTACGCGTAGAAAGAAAACCGTTGGTGGTACTTGAGTAATGAGCATATGCAAGACCGCATGTAGGGAGAGTTTATAGGCAAGAAGTAGGCATGAGAAGTGAAAAGTCTTGTGGGGAAATTGTCATACATATTGTTGTAATGTAACAGACAATAAATGAAATTGATTTACGGAAGGAGATTATGTATTAAGTCATTGTATTCTATGTAACTGCGTTTTGAATAATGGCAAAGGAGGAGGCAACTAAGTATAACTTTTTGATTGGAAGTTTCTATTCTACAAAGAACCTGTTCAGTATATTTCAGCTAAGTACCCTGTTTCTCGAGTGCAAAAACTAACAGATAATCAGGGAAATTTTGGGCACTTCGGCGGTTGAACAAGTTATCCACTATACTGTGGTTATTGATCAAGCAAATATGAGAACTTCTTCTTTCACTTAAGGAAATGGTAAAATTATCAAATATGAAAGCTTCTTCTTTCACTTAAGGAAACAGTAAATTTACATGCTAATGCAGCATATCACCAGTATGCTTCTACTCTATTCGATTCATTTCTGATCTCAGACATCTCAGCCATGGCATAACTGATATCCAACCTTTCTCCACGCAACTCTGCAGAGCAAGCGACACCAATTTCTAGAATTGAACTCAAGCTTTCCTCAATTATGATGCGAATCCTCGCCCTATCCTTCTTAACACAATTGTTTGAGCTCGTCTCCACTTCTACTTTTCTAGAACAAGAACGGGATCCACAATCTCTACCACTTGCTCAGGCAGAGCTACCTTGACAAAGTTAAGAGAAATGACCAAAGTTGATAAGCTACATCCGTTGTTCGACTACACTCGAACTGAATAGAACAAATTCTTTTCAACGGAAATCATCCTTATTACGCACCATGGATGCCTTCTGATATCTCATTTTCTCAATCTCCTTTCCCAGAAAATCTAAAGTAGTGTCTGTAACATGGTTGGGGGAGCAGCCTGCATCCAGCATCATTTTCAAAAATTTATATGCATCTTTGAGTCGGCCTGCTTTACTATGAACTTCAATTAGTGTATTAAAAGTGACAACATCAGGATTTATTCCACTACTCTTCATCTGCTCAAAGAGCTTGTTTACTTCATCAATCCGGCTAGCCTTCCCCAGAGCATTAATCAAGGTGTTGTACATAACCACATCAAGATACCCACCCTGCTTCATTAGTTTATCCAGAACACAACTGGCTAAATCAGCTCTTCCCATCTTCCCCAGGCCTTGAATTATCACATTGTATGTTGCTATGTCTGTGGGGCAAACCTTTTCTCCCATTTCATTAAGTACACCCCATGCCTCATTGAAGTAGCCCTTCTTGACGAACGAACTCATCATGGAATTATAAGTGTAACTCACTGGGTTTTCACCCAGATCACTGAAAATTTCAAACAATTTGCAAGCTAGGCTCAGCTTTCCCTTGGCCAAGAATAAAGACAAAAATGTATTAACCATATCAATATCAAATGAGCCTTCCCCTTTGTCCTGAACTCTTTGCCCCCTAGAGAATGAAAACAGCTGAGAGGAGTGGTCAATGGGCTTAAGCTGATTAGCCAATTGATCCATATATGGAGATGATGACCACTGATCAGTATCAGTGGACACATTCTTATCATCATCTTTAACTCTGGCATCCTCTGAATCAAGGTCTGCATCCATTGTTGAGTTAGCAGAGTTTATTAAGCTCATAATCTCGCTAAAGTCACCTTTACTTGGGAACAATTGTGTGTAATCCTTTCTGCTGCTCTGCGGAGTTTTCATTGAAGCCTCCATATCGGCCTTCCATTTAAGAACACTCGGCACTAGATTACCTTCTCTAATATGCTTCATGAGTTTGTCTGTCCAATCCCACCTACCTTCTTTATACAGCCCAATCAAGAGTGATGATATGGTAACTAAATCAACAGCAAAGCCTCTCCTTTCCATTTCTTCCACCAACCCTAACGCTTTCTCAAGCAGACCTTCCTTACAATGTTGCAACACAACAATGCTGTATGTAACACCATCCACAAACTGACCCTTCTTCTTTAAGTCACAAAATAGGGTGTAAGCAGCCTCAGCTCTTCCATTCTTAAATAAACCATCAACGAGAATATTATACGTCCACGTTGAGACTCTCACCCCGTTCTGAACCATTTTCTCAAAGAGGTGGCAGCCATCATTAACCTTCCTGGCCTTGAATAACCCATCTAGGAGAGAATTATAAACAATGGTATCCGGGATATATCCATTGAGCTGCATTTGACTAAAAATGTTGGTGGCTTCATCTATTCGATAAGATTTACAACATCCTTGAATAAGAATTCGATAGGTGATGGCGTCAGGCTCATGGCCAGAGCCTTTCAATTCCTCCCATACAGTAAGTGCATCATTCACCTTCCCAACCAAGCAGAGCACATGAATGAGGCTATTATAAGTAGGCAAATCTGGACCCACTGATTCCAAGTTAGAGTCTTTCATCTCCTTGTAGAGGCTTAGACTAGTACCCAGATCACCCCAACACCCAAATGCATGAATACAAATATTGTACCCCCAATTATCCATCTCAACCCCCTTATTCTCTCTAAGCTTATCAAACACTTGCTTAAACTCAACCCTCATGTCAGCTTTTCTAAGAGCAACCAGCAATTCATTGGAGGCAATGGAATTGGGTACCTGGGAGGAGCAGCCTCCTTCCAGAAGCTTAAGCAAAATGGACATCGCTAAACCCACCTGGTTTTTCCTAACCAGAGCAACAAGAACCGAGTTATACATATCTGTGTTCAAGCTAGCACCAACCTCTTCCATAATGTCCAAGATTTCAAGCGCATAGTCAAACTTACCTGAACGAATAAACGCGTCGAGCAAGGCTTTGAAGGTCTGGGAATCAACCACAACCCCATCTTCTTTCATGGAGTGAAGCAAATGCGGGACCTCGTGAAGGAAGCCGGCGCGGGAAGCGGTGCGGAGGATGTGGGAGTAGGTGCGCGCCGAGTGTTTGATGTTATGCGTGAGAGAGCACCATTTGAAAAAGTCGAGTTTTTTGGAAGGGTGGAGGGATTGGGCGCGGAGGATTTGAAGCAGAAGAGGCTCGGAGAGTGACAGGGTGTGAGGGTCGGGGAGGTTGCGAGTGCCTGAGCTTGAGAGAGTCTTGGTGATGGAGGCCACAAGCAGTATGTCTCCCAGTTGAGAAGCACTGCGCTGCTCTTTGACCAGGAAAGGCCTTCCATGGCGCATTGCATCTCCGAAAACATAAATCACTGCTGATGAGAAGACAAACTATATTAACTGTTTAGCAGTTTTTACTTGAGTTGGGCTGCACTTGGTAAGGCACTTTTTCTGTTGTAGCCAGGCCCAGATCTTTAATGGGTTAGTTTTGCTGTTTGGGCCTCTTCTCCTATTTCACTCAAACTATTATCATACCGTAATAATTATTGGCGTTATTCGATAAGATAATGGATAAATGAGTCAGGATTAAAATTATGATAAGCGGGTGATACGACCATTTTCAGTGTAAAAAAAGATCAATGGAGTTTTTACATTGGTGACTCTAATTGTAAAAGAGAGTATGGAGCGAGCTGTAAAGTAAGATGTCTTAGTAGGTTCGATCGAATCCTCCCAAATGCCAAAAACATGAGAATTCAACTAATACGTGTGGCTTGCTAGTGATTACATGTCACTACATAGTTTCACATAGTGCATATGAAGTGCTAATATAAATCTTCCCATCATCTCAATGTGAATGAAGGTCTCCATGTACATTGCATAGAAAGATGCTGACACTCATTAGTATATATAAAATATATGTCTAATTTCATCATGTGTTTGGTCATGACGTGTCTACAAACATCAGCTGCATATATACATGAAAATTTTCATCCAAGTTGGTAACAAATTAACTCGTCGTTGCACTTTGCTAGCAAGAAAGAACCATTAGCTTTACATTTGCTTACATCTTTCTTCTTTTTTTTCTCAAAGATTTGACATATTGTTCTGCTAGACAATGCCACAGCAATGAATAATACAGTTTTCTTCCAAATCTTGCACTAATACATACTGTTCAAAAGGGCAGTATTAGATACCATCTTCAACAAATCAGTGCCATCATGTCTGTCTGCCAGTGCCAACCTTTTAAAGATGCTTATTATATCGTGCATATTTCTTGTGACTTCATTTTAATGGAGGGATTTGATAATAAAGTTAAATTTGGTACAAAAGTAAGAACAATACGAGATCGAATGCATTTGAAATAATTAGATGCAGTACATTTGAAATGAATACATGTAAAAAATCATTTGAGTCCATTTATTTTCTTCCTTCATTTCCTGTCTAGATTCTTTAACACATGGATTGTTATATTCTAAAGAAAGAATTTTACGTTATTTAGGGTGTTTTTGGACGAAATAAGCTTTCATTGAAAAGGAGAAGAACAAACAGACAGTCACTTATAGAGCATTAGAAACTCAGGGAAAAAAACTAAACTCGCAGAGTCTAGAAACGCAATTCTAGAATTGATTATTTATCTGAGGTCATAGATAGTGATGCACTAATAGACTAGTAGGATTGCTTGGTAATTGATTCTGTACTTAACTTTATGACAAAATTCCATTTGAAGGACAGCTAAAAGGGGTGAAGAAACTATAATATAAAAAAAGCAAGTTGGTTGCATCAACTACTGTTCAAATGATGCCTAGAATTTAACCCTGTCTATCCCCAAATATGGGAGGGTGGTCTGCTCGGCCTATATATATATATATATATATATATATATATATATATATATATATATATATATATATAT